TCGGCAGTCCGGCAGACCCTATTAAGAAGGAAGGTGATGCCGACAAGGACGACGCCGACATGGCCAGCCGGCGCAGCAAGCGCCTCAAGAAGGACAATGTGCCCACCGTAGCTGGTTCGCACATGACTGTCTTCCGGCCCTCTGTCCCTAGAATTCCTCGGGAAGAGGGCGCCGCTGCCGGAGGCAAGTGCGAAAACTGTGGACGGGGCGAGGACAGTGGAGCTCTGCTGGTTTGCGAGTCTTGCGACCATGCATACCACGGCCCTTGCCTGGATCCGCCGCTCAAGCGAAAGCCCGAGGCAGAGTGGAACTGCCCGCGCTGCTTGGTGGGAGACGGTCATTTTGGCTTCGAGGAAGGAGGCCTATACTCGCTGAAGCAGTTTCAACAAAAGGCAAACGATTTCAAGCAGGGCTACTTTGAGCAGAAGATGCCGTTTGACGAGACTCTCCAGTGCCACAGACCTGTCACCGAAGAAGACGTCGAGCGAGAGTTCTGGCGCCTGGTGGCTGACTTGGAAGAGACTGTCGAGGTTGAGTACGGCGCCGATATCCATTGCACCACCCACGGCTCGGGCTTCCCTACCGTCGAGAAGCACCCGAACAACCCGTATGCCACCGATCCCTGGAACCTCAACGTTCTCCCATTCCACCAAGACAGTCTCTTCAGGCATATCAAAACCGACATCTCGGGCATGACCGTGCCTTGGGTCTATGTGGGCATGATCTTCTCCACGTTTTGCTGGCACAACGAGGATCATTATGCCTATTCGGCTAACTACCAGCATCTGGGTGCGACCAAGACGTGGTACGGCATACCTGGAGAAGACGCCGAAAAGTTTGAACAGGCAATGAAGGAGGCTGTGCCGGAGCTGTTCGAGACCCAGCCGGATTTGCTCTTCCAGTTGGTGACGCTCCTCACACCAGAGCAGTTGAAGAAAGCAGGCGTGCGCGTCTACGCATTGGACCAGAGGGCTGGCCAGTTCGTCATCACATTCCCGCAAGCCTATCACGCCGGGTTCAATCATGGCTTCAACTTCAACGAGGCTGTCAACTTTGCTCCCTGCGATTGGGAGAAATTCGGCCAGGCGGGAGTCGAGAGATTGCAGCTATTCCGCCGGCAGCCGTGCTTTTCCCACGATGAGCTTTTGTGGACAGCCGCCGAAGGGAGCGTGACTTCGGGTCTTACCATCCAGACAGCCAAATGGCTTGCGCCGGCTCTCGATCGCATCAGTCAACGAGAACGAGCACAGAGAGAGGAGTTCCTCGCAAGGCATACCAGAGATTTCCCTCACAACTGTCACATCACCGGCGGAAGCGAGGACTCCTGCCCGCTTACGTTCAGGATCGACGATAGCGATGTCCACGACGAAGAGGAGCAGTGCTGCAGCTACTGCAAGGCTTTTGCCTTTTTATCTCGCTTCAAGTGTCACCGCACCGGAAAAATCTTGTGCATTCTCCATGCAGGGAGCCATCCATGCTGCGACTTGTCGGAAGAAAAGCGCCTCAGGGGCGAGGAGCACACGCTCATCTATCGCAAGACTGAACAGGATATGACGTCGATATTCCAAAAGGTCTCGGAAAAAGCACGCACTCCTGAAGCCTGGGAAGAAAAGTACGAGAAGCTCCTAGAAGAGGAAGCTACACCCTCTCTCAAGTCTCTCCGGACGCTTCTACACGAGGGCGAGAAGATCCCCTATGAGCTCGCTTCGCTACCCATTCTGAAAGAATTTGTTGACAAGTGTAACGATTGGGTCGAGGAAGCCACCAATTACATTGTCAGGAAGCAGCAGAATCGCCGCAAGAACGAGAAGGTCTGGCAGAGCAACGGGCGTCGTGGAAGCGCCAATAACGACCAGAAAGACAAAGAAAAAGAGTCGCGCCACGTCAGCAACATTCATCGTCTGCTTGCGGAGGCAGAGCATATCGGCTTCGACTGTCCCGAGATTGCACAGCTTCAGGAACGAGCAGCCGCCGTCAAGCAATTCCAAGAAAATGCCGCCACGGTTCTAAAACAAAACATCGCCTCTCCTATCGGGGTGATTGAGGAGTTGATTGAAGAGGGTCGCAGTTTCAACATTGACACTCCCGAGCTGGATGCCTTGTCTCGGAGATTGGAAGAGCTGCGCTGGAACGAAAAAGCTAGGGCAAGCCGCGGCGCATTTCTGCTGTTGGCGGAAGTGCAGGAAATCATCCAGGAGGGCGAGCGGCTCGAGATCCCCAACTACAACGATCACTTAAAGTACTACCGCGACAAGCTGCAGGCTGGCCAAGCCTGGGAGGCAAAGGCCAGGGAGCTCACTCATGCCGAGTTTGTCCACTATCCTCAGCTGGAGGCACTCACGGCTCAGGTACAGGCCAATGCTCTTCCCGTTTCCCGCGAGACCCTTGCCGCCGTCGACCAGATACTTCACAAGCAGCGCGAGGCGCACCGGCAAATCATTGATCTCATCGAGCGGTGTCGCGAGACTGATTATAGAAAGCGACCTAAATACTCCGAAGTCGTCGAGATCACTAGAAAGCTGGATGATCTCAATTCTAAGCCCGCCGGTACCGTCGACTTGGAGAACGAGAGGAAACGGCATGAAGATTGGATGCGGAGGGGAAAGAAGCTATTCGGCAAGTCGAATGCGCCTTTGCATATTCTCAAAAGCCATCTGGAGCATGTACTCGAGCGGAATACCGACTGCTTCGACACGGACCACGATACGCCTCGTCTTCCGGGAGAGCCTGTTTCAAGAGAAGCCAGTCCGGAGGCCGGGGGCAATCGTTGGGAGGATCCGCGATCAAGGCAGGTGTTTTGCATATGCCGGAAGATTGAAGCTGGTATGATGATTGAGTGCGAGCTCTGCCACGAATGGTAAGTCTTTGCTGGAATGCACGCCCCCCTAAGCCGTATAGCGAGAGGCGCTTGAACGCTCACATATCCTCCACTAGGTATCACTACAAATGCCTCAAGATTGCCCGGGGCAAAGTGAAAGAGGACGACAAATACACTTGCCCGATATGTGACTGGAGAATGAAGATCCCTCGCGATGCTTCCCGACCGAAGCTGGAGGACCTCATTGCCCTTGCCGACGAGATACCGGGCCTACCCTTCCAGCCGGAAGAGGAAGAAGTCCTTCGGCAGATTATAGATAACGCGCAGAACTTTAGAGATAAGATTGCTCAATACTGCAATCCACTTCTTTCGACCGAAGCCGAGGCTGAAACGCAGCGATTTTTCCTCCGAAAGCTTGAGGGCGCCGAGATCCTGCTCTCGTACGAGACCAACTTCTTCCGCCAGGAGCTTCACAAGTGGTGTCCGGTCGCGCCAGAACCGCCGCCAATCCTGCAAGTCTCGCTGAGCACGCGCAAGCCTCGCCCTACTAAGCTCCAGAAAATGCTGGTTGAGTACGGGGTCGACAACCCGGACGACCTTCCGGAGCACGCAAAGGGCAAAGCGAACAGCTTGCGGCGGAAAGCTGCAAATGCGGAGGCGGCTGCAGCTGCGGCTCAAGCGCCGACGGCTATGCCTAGCGTACCGAACCCTCACAACTCGGCGTACGGACCGCAGACTTACTTTTCTCGCGCGTCTCATTCGACGACCCCAAGCGTCTCGGCCCCTTCGCACGGACATGGCGATGAGAAGTCTGAGTCGGCTTCGGAGAGAGGTGGTCTGAAGCTGGGGTCCGCAGAGGCAGAGAGCAACTTGCACCCCAGTTTCTTGGAAGCTGGTGGCCCTCACCTGGCCGCCGGTGACTCGACCATGGGCATGAATCTGCATACAGATGCAGACAAGAACAAGGCCACCGGGATATTCAAACACACCGAGCTCGGCAAAGATCCGGCGGAAAGAATTTGGGGAACAGATGTCTGGAACAATAGACAGAGATCCATGAGTGATCAGCGACGGTCCATGACCCCCGCTGATCTGGACGAGACCATGAAGCAGCAGGACGCCAACAAGGCTCACCTGAAGATGTTCAAAGAAATGATCCACTCCGACGAAGATGAAGATCAAAAGAAGAAAGATACCACGATGGCGAATGGAAACGTCACAGCAGACTTATTAGAAAGCGAGCGGAACGGGCTGGACGCAATGTTGGATGGGGAGTAGGTTGATTTGTTTGTTCTTGGGCAACGGGAGAGGCGAAGAAAGAGGGCGGTCGCAGCGCGGCTTGGGTGTTGTCTTTGCCTCCCTCGTCTTTTATTCGGTTCATTGTTTTGTTTCTTGGGAGGATCTGGGAGTTTTTTTTGGTCATCGATACCAACCGGAACGGACTTTTCGTATGCTTGTAATACCTGGATGCGGCATGGCTTCTTCTCCTTTGTCCATCGACGACATGAGGCGCATGGGGAGTGCCTGGTTGGTTGGAAGGGCCTTGCACTTTGGGCGGATGACGCTAATGCTTTTGAGGGAAGAGATATGTGCACCGCTTCTGCTTTCTTTTTGCAAATAGTTTATTTCGACTGTTTTGTTCTTCGATTTACTATTGCCGGTTTTCATTGCGGCCTTTGGGGGGTGGAAGAGGGAAGCCGGGTATCTAAGGTATCCCTTGATACATGAAGAAAAGCCAGAGAAATTAGTGTTAATTTTAGACGATTGAACTAATTCAATTGGATGTTTTGTCTTTATAATGATATCTTGCAGAGAAAGGACAAGTTGTAAGGGATATTTTGAAGAAGTCGTCTTCAAGTTTATGCATTGAGCCAACCAAGTACCTAGTAGTACATAGAAAGAAGAATGCCTAGCCTGATACAACCTAGCGGTAATTAGTCATGAAGCGGCTTTCAGGTCACGTGATATCCCGCTTGACGGCCCATGCTCGGAGACAGTACATGGCGAAACGCGTGCCTCGTCATTGGCAAGGTCAAGCCGGGCTTTCCTCACATCGGCCTCACCAGCTGCATCTCTGCTTCTTGCATCAACTCACTTCCGCCCTCACTTGCCCTATCTGCCCCGAGGCTCTCACACACGGGCAACCATGGCGTCTCCCCCCTACGCCACGTCTCCATCGGCCATGTCGCCTCCGTATTCATCACCAGCCCAGGTCCCCAGCAAGAAGCGGGCATCGACAATGGACATGAACATGCCGCCCGGCAAGCGCAGGAAGAGCTCCGTCATCTCACAGCCACCCACACATCCCCTGCGCCAGACATCGTTCCCGCCAGAAGCAGGCTCGCCGTATCCCCGGTCGCCGTCGGTGGACGCCGCGTCGCACGTCAGCGGCAGCGTGGTGAGCGCGACGACGAGCGCCGTGTCGAAGCGCAAGCGCGGTAGGAAAGCCAAGGGCGCAAAAGGCGGCGAGGACGGGGGAGACAAGACGCCGAGCCTGGTGGGGGGCAAGGCAATGACGACGGCGAGCGGGCAGGGAGGGGGAGCGGGCGATAAGGATGCTGAGGAGGATGAAGAGGATGACAAGGAGGAGATGGCGCTGGAGGATGCGGTCGCGCGGACGCAGGAGCAGAAGCAGGAAGAAATAAGATTGAGGGCTATGCTCGTGGAGGCGTTTGACCCGGTGCAGTATGATCGGTACGAGTTTTGGAGGGCGGCCAAGTTGTCGGAGGCGGTTGTCAAGAGGGTGAGCATTGCGCATTGCAGCCTATTCTCCGTTTGGATGCAGTTACTGACAAGACGGCGGCCCAGGTCGTCAATGCTACCGTCTCGCAGTCGGTGCCCCAGATGGTGGCAACGGCAGTCAAGGCAGTCGCCAAGCTCTTTGCCGGAGAGATCATCGAGGGAGCACGAAGCGTGCAAGCCGAATGGATCCTCGCGGGAGAGAAGCAGAGCGAGGTCGCGACGCCGCCGCCGTTGACAGACGAAGCCGAAAACGACGAAGAGCCTGACCTCCGCAGGGGCCCGCTGCGGCCAGACCACCTGAGAGAGGCGTGGCGGCGGTACAAGCTGAGCCACGAGAGCCGAGGAGTTGGAGTGCAGCAACTGTGGCACGCGCAGCAGGGGACCGGGGTGGAGAGATTTTCGACGAGGACGGGGAACAGGCTGTTTCGGTGATGGAGCTAGGGATTTTTCCCTCTTTTCTTTTTTGTTATTTTCTGCATTTTTCACGACTTGGCGCGGTGGAGTTGGAGAGCGAGGCGATTATGGATGCTTTTTCTTCGTTTTTTCAGGGTCCTTTTTTCCCCTCGTTTGCCGTGGGCACCGGGGGAGGCAGACCATGGCCGAGGTCCAGGACGAAGAGGATTCGTCCGTTTACAAGACAGATGCCCTCTTTGAGCAGCATCTCATACTCCCGAGTTTCTCTCAGCCTTTTCAGGCATCAGGCACCAGGCATCCGATACATACTATTACTACCACTCCAAGTACCGTCTGTTGAAGACGACCTTGACGAATCACAGAGGCCAGAATGCAAGACAGGACGGGCTGCCAAGGGTTCGCAGTGACGCACAGCTAGTCTGCCGATTTTATTGCCCGTTTGGTCGCAAGTGTGGCTCCGAGACTGGGGCGTCGATGGTGGAGCTGCCACCTAGTGAGTGACAGATTTTTCCTGTTTCTCTCTTTTGCGTGCCGTTGCTGTTGCTGCTGCAGACGATGCCAGAGCGAGTTGAGCGTGTACAGTAATAGGAACGGAATAGTAGAGGGAAAACTAAGAGAGAAAAAAAAGAAAGGGAAAAAAAAAAAAAAAAAAAAAAAAAAAAATAAAAAAAAAAGAAGCAGCGCGCACGCGACTGCTGACAAAACTCTCTCTTATTACTCAACCGATTCTTCCTCTCCCACTCTCTCTTCTACTTGACTGGCTTGGCCTACACAAAGCAAGTTGCACATCTGTTGCACTCCAATTGATTCCTGAATCTTCGTCTTCCATCTTTTGTCTTTTTCTTATTTCTGTTCATTTCTTCTCACTGTTATTCTTTTGACGAATTGACCCTTTCCAACATGCCTAGAGCCAAGGTACGTCTCTGATTCTCTCTGCAGCTGAGCCCCCACGCCTCTGCTTTTGGCAGCATGTCACCAGCAAATTTTCACACCAATTGCCGTCTCCCACAATCTGCCTCTTCTGTCTGGTCAACCAATTCCTCACTCACACAATTCACATGATCTATCCTGATTTCTAACATGCCCGTCATGCAGCAGGAAACCGACAGCTCAGCCAAGTCCAGTGCTGCAGCCATCCGCATCAGAGAAAACCAGCGCCGCTCGCGGGCCCGCCGGAAAGAATACGTCGAGGGCATGCAGAGGAAGCTGCAGGACTACGAGACCAAAGGCGTCGCTGCCACGCTGGAGATGCAGCAGGCTGCACGGGACGTGGCCATTGAGAACGCCCGGCTGCGGCTGCTGCTCGCCCACAGCGGCGTCACCGCCGATGCCGTCGAGGGCTTCTTGCAGTCCTTCAAGGGCCAGGACGCCAGCGAGGCCGAGCACTACGCCGCCCGCATCGCCACCGCCGAGTCTATTGCCGCCCTGGGACGCCCGTCCACCGTCGCCACGCTCTTCCCCGAGCACGCACACATCGACAAGCTGGCCGTCCTGGCCAGCGCCAGCATGCAGCAGAGCGCCAGCGGCCACGACTCAGACGGCACAATCACCTCGGACGACTCGACAACGGGGCCCAGCACGGGGCCCGTCACTCCCAGCTCGAGCAGTCTCAACGCTCCCTCGCCCAGTGACGGCGGCTTCGAGGCGCCCCAGACCATGTCCTGTGACGCTGCCGCTCACATCATTGCCCAGATGCAGGGCTGTGGCCTTCGGGAGCCGTCCAAGGGGAGTCTGGAAGCCAGCAACCAGGGCGACTACCTCATTCAGAACTCTGCCTTCTTGAAAATTCTTGAGGCGGCGTCCATCTTCAATTAGCCTTGGGCCCCACAAGAAAAAAGCTGAAAAGAAGAAAAACCAGAAAAAGCAAAAAGCCACCATCGTGTACAAGACGACTCACGCCGATTTCAGAGCAAGGCAAGTCGATGCTCCTGAAGGTGGCACTTTGGAGCACCGACCTTGGTTTGCCGGCTTATGCTCTGGAAACAATTGGCGACTTCATGATTGATGCCATCTATTTGCATATTGGATTTGCCTTCGTCAAGGCGTCAGGCCGCTTTACGCATTGCGTTTGTCGCCGCTTTCCCATGCTGGATCCATCACGGCAACAGCTTCATGCCGGATGCGACTTTTGAAGAACTGTCACCAGACATGAGGGTTCTGTCAGTGGGTTACGACGATATGAATGCACAGAGCGCAAGACAATCTTCTTATCTGGATCTGTCTCACGATCATAGAGCAGTCGTGGATTCGGAGTTGGAACCTCTAAAGTATTGCGGCTTCTGGCCATTCGCGACAAATTATTTGACTCGCCAACGGTTTTCTGAGGAAGAAGACCGTCTCTGATTTACCAGCCATTACCGATTTATGTTGTCAGAACGTCTACGGCGGCGTCTTTGAGAGGTTCTCCGCTCCAAATCGCCAGCCATAATATTACCGCGGCATCGACAGTACAGCAGCCTTGATTTCATGCGACATACTTTGACAAAAGTTTTCTGTTTTTGCAATGGGATCTATTTTGCAACATGGCGTCATTCTTAATCAAACAAAAGTTCAGCATTGAATTTTACGCAGTTAGAGATTACAGACTTGGGCCTTTGATGCCTGAGTTGGTATATACATACAGAGAGGAGACAATCTGTGTCTAGGGGAATACAGAAAAAAAAAGCGATGCGATTTGATGCACATATCTGGTGGAGAAATTATCAAGATTTCCCGTGGGCACGCCTGTTCTTGTAACTCATCTGGACGAGAGAGAAAAGGCTGGACGAAAAGCGTTCCCATGGAAATCTGAGGGCATCATTCACTTTATTGTCCCGGATCCATGGCTGAGGCATTCTGTTTGGACGCCCGTGTATTAGTATAGTGCTGATGGTTGCACATTGTTTCCCTCTTGAGCGCAAAGATTAAAGTTCATGGTTTAGAGAAGAGCAAGCATGACACAGCTTTGTAAGAGTTGAATAACAAAAAGTTACAGCTGATTTATATAAATGTACAACTCATGAGTCGAATATCGCGAGACTGCTATACTATTTACTATGATAACCTTCATCCAATCCATCAAAAAGATGGAGAATTCTTGCCCATCTAGCAGTTTGAGGGTTTTTTTTTTACCACGAAAAAGCTAGAGAGTTCTGACCATGTAGCAATCGAGTTTCTTCTTTTCTCTTCTCTTCTCTTCTTTCTTTCTTTTCTCTTCTCTTCTCTTCTTTTCTTTCTTTCTTTCTTTCTTTCTTTCTTTCTTTCTTTCTTTCTTTCTTTCTTTCTTTTTTTTCTTTTTTTTTTTTTTTTTTTAAATAAAACGCTAAGGGATTTCTCATTGGAGATTGCTGGCTTATTACAATACTACAACTATTATGAGATCTCAGAAGAGTTCATCTCAAAAAAAAAAAAAAAAAAAAAAAAACCAGAGCTAACCAAACAATCGCAAGTGTCGATAATGTCTATTTCCAGATCAAACATAGACCGACAAGACCTCGCATAGAGCTCCTTCATAGCTCACTATGCCAAGGCAAGGATCTACCAAGCTTACATGAAAAACATCATCTTATGACAACAACATAGGTATATCAAGCAAGAGAGACATATATAAGTACATGAAAAGGAGAAGCGCCCTTAGCATATATGCTCACAACATCAAAATCAAGACCCCAGAAGTTCATAAAGTCGAACCTTTGGAAAGAACATCGCCTCCTCTCTTCCCCTTTAGAGCACGTCAGCGATCTCGCTCGGCTGCTAGACACTAGAGAGCAGAAGACCTTGGGACGCTGCTGCGGAGACAACCGGCGATTTGAATAAGCGAAGCAAACTGATTCATTCACCGCATAAGACCAAAGGTGTACGATGGCTTAAAGAGAGCCGACAAGCTTTGATGGGGCGCGAGATGGTAGAGTGGGCGGGCTCTGCGGGCTCGGTACGAGCTGGCTTAAATCCTGCGAGGACGACGGAGGTCGTTTAGGCCGAGCAAAGGGGTCCTCAATCGGGGAGCTTACAGACTGTGGATAAATAGGAACGACAGGCGGCGGAAAACGGGGAGGGACAGGCCGCACAGCGACTCCCGAAGCCTGTGGTAGCGCTTCCACGTACGGGGGCCACGAAGCGTTTGCGCCGGAACTGCTTGACTCCGGCTTGGAAGTATGCCCTGCCGGGGCGGAGGATTGGGCGTATGGCAGTATCTTGCCCGGACCTTGGGGCTTAGAGGGCTCGTACGGATTCACCCCTTACGTGCAGCAAGAAGGCTTCTGCTATAAGAATGGCCACTTCGCGAAGCTTTTCCGTAAGCCAGACTGCTGTGGGGGGCGTTGCCATATGCCGTGCTGCGCTGAGGAACGTTGCCATGATTGCCATATTTATACTATGCTGCAAGTGCATTGCAATGATTCTTATTCGCTGGGCGCCTATATGAAGGCTTATTGATATATGTCGGCTGATATTATAAAGGAACAATATGAGTGAAAGCCGGCGCCGATGCTGCTTCAGGGGCAAGGAGTGCTGCTCCAGGTAGACCAGGTGCCGCGTCTGGTAGAAGATCAGCATGGTCAGAAAGTGCTTGGCCTTGCCCGATTCGTTGTTGTTGCTGTTGTCGCTGTCGTTGTCCGTAAGGGCATACTTGCTCTCTTGAAGACATATGTATAGTTCAAATATGTCAAAGAAGCTGACAATGTGAGGCTGGTCCTGGGCAAAAGCGATGGTATAAGCATCCATCTTTGCCTCAACGACAATTGCGCGACCATCTTCAAGCCGCAGATAGTACTCAGAGGTGGCAATTGGATTGGCACCCTGGCGGCAGAGCAGCTCGACGCAGTCGTACCGCCCGACCGAGGCCGCTGTTTGAAGTGTCCTGTCCAATTGTCTCTGAGTAATCATCCGCCACTCAGGCTGAAGAAGCTCTTCTAGGCACTCGACGAACCCAAACATGGCGGCGAGATCCATTGGCAACAGGCTGAGGAGGTTGGTCTCCGTGTTTGTCCTTGCTCCATGCCGAAGAAGCAGGGCGACGACTTCACGGTGACCTCCCCTACAGGCCGCATGCAGTGGACTCCTCCCCAAGTCGTCCGTCAAATTGACAGATGCACCCAGATGAACAAGGTAGGCGACGGCATCACGAGCGCCTGCAGCGGCCGCGTGCCAAACGGGAGTCCGGCCGTACTGATCTCCAGTATCCAGGTAGCAGCCGTGGAGGTGGAGAGCTCGAATGGCACCTATGCAATTCCCAGCGGCGGCACGATGGAGCGGCGTCTCGTCAAATTTGTTGCGAGGGGTGAGCCCGGTATGCTCCGAGCTCCAGTCTAGCAGCTCTTGGAAGAACGAGATGCCGTACTCGATGTCAGGGCTCGAGGCTGCGGCCAAGTGCAAGGGCGTTTCAAGAAAGTGTTCCGTCCTTGCGTTGGCCAGATGACCGAGCTCTGGCTGGACACGGAACTTGTCCAAAGTAGTCCAGACTTTGTTGTTGCAGACAATTGCTACGTGAATCGCCAACAGTCCTCCCTTTGTCAGCGCCTCGGGATTGGCTCCGTTTCTAAGGAGCAACATGATGCAGTCGTGAGAGCCACCAGCAACTGCCCAATGAAGTGGCGCGAATCCGTGCTGATCAGTCGTTCGTGCCTCGATATCTGGCGTTTGATAGGCCAGGATAGACTCGACCTGAGGTGCGTCACCGGCGAACAACGCCTCAGCCAGCTGCTCTGTGGCGCTCAATTGCCTTCTTGACTCTCGTGCAGAAGATTTCTGCTTCAAAAAAGCCAAAAAGTCGTAGATGGGCTTCATAAATTCGCCCCGAACTGTTCCTGTTCCGTCTTCAGGATACCTTGATCGGACAGGCGGAACCGCCCAAGTATTGGTGCCGTAGTCTTCTATTGCAAAAGGCGAGCTTGTAGTGACACAGTAGAGCTCTGTCAAAGCTTTCAAGTTCGAGTCGGTAGAGGTGGAATCGTTGCTGGGTTTGGACAGCACCATGATCTGATTGGGACTTTCCATCAGCTCCTTGTAAGTTTGGATCTCGGCCGTCGACGTTACGAGGATGGAACTGTAGAGGCGTCCTTGAAGCTGGATTCCCTCCACTGTCGCGCTGCTCGTCAGTGAAGAGTCTTCACCGAGTAAATCACGGAGCTTTTGCGGCGTGATCTCATCGCTGCTTGATTTGGCAATTTCGCTTTCTATCCGCTTGTTGACCTCGTGGAAAGCGTGCTCGAGGGATATGTCGCGATATGACAGTTGGAAACACCATCCCTCCCATTCCATCGTGTTCAGACGACGACGCAAGCCGACGACGACATCCACCTTCTCGTGCGTTTTATGAATGCTTTGGAATCTAAAGATACCCATGGCCTGCAGTTTGCGGGAATACTGCACCTTGAGGGTCATGGTGGCCGAGTTCCAGTTGTGGGCGGGATACTTGTCGAGCAGCCGGTACTGAACACCATCCGAGGAACCGAGGCCGGACTCCATATTCAAAGGCGAAAGCCTAAACTGCGGGAGGTGGTAATAGACCGGTTGCTGTCTGATGTATATCGACCGGTATCCCTCGTTTGGCCAATATGTAGAGGATGGTGGAGGCATGAAGTGCTGCGACTTGGGCCTCAGCCTTCCATACTGGTCTTCCGAAAGCCGCCGCAGGAGCAGAGCTGGACACTGGTAGACGTCTCGATCCCGCTGAACGCAGTCTAGGATGGCAAAATAGTCCTCCTCCATTGCACCTTCGTCATTGTAAGCACGCGGCTCCAGATACAGCTGCACGCGCAGGCCTTGGTTCGTCATCGCGGATGGCGCGCTGGCATACACGGGTAACGGCGGTAGAACCTGCAATAAGCCCGCATGCTTGAACTGGGCAGGAGATTGTGCGAGCAGTCCGAAAAGGGCATCTGGGTCTTCGTCTTCGTCGTCGAAAGAGTTCCAGGCAAATATCGACTGGTCATCGGTGCGTTGGATGATTTCCTCCTGCAGGCGTGTGAATGCACGCCGGCCCTCGCCATATAACAGCGGCATGTTGACCTGGAACAACCCCATCAAGCAATATGCGGTATCCTCGAGCCTCGTCGTGTTCCTGCGAGATGCCCAGGCCATGCGAGCAGACACACTCAGCTGGAGAGGGTCTATCCTGCCATTCAAGACTTCTTCGTCAATATTCGTGGTTTCGCTGATGATCTTGGTAAAGTCAGCCGGGGCATCTTTCTGGCCGAGCAAGCTCCAGTCCTTGGCGTAAAAGAGGACGAGCTTTGGGGCAATGAGCTCCTGAAGTGTCCATCCTCGTGTAAACCAGCGGCTCCGGCGGAGATTCTCGTGGAACCCATCGGGATGTGCATCGTCAGGCGGCTCGACGTCGGCGAGGAAAGCGTAGCACTCGGCCGACTGCTCGTACCAGAGGTACATGGAGTTGATGGCCTCGGACAGCTCGGCGCTGCTGGTCTTGTCGATGCAGCAAGTGTCCACCCACAGATAGTCGAGGCCCCGGCTCACGGCCAGCCGGGCAGCTCCGGAGATTTTGATGTAGCCCTTCTTCAAGACGGTGGCCCGCTTCTTCTTAGGGAGAGTCTGGGGCGACGCCAGCGAGAGCTGCGAGCAGCCGCCGAGGCGCCGCAGCTGCTGGATCGTGACTTCTTCATCGCCCCATGTATGCGACAAGATGGCATAGCGAGGGACGTTGTTGTCGTTTATATCAACGAGCTCCAGCGTTCTGGCGTCTAGGAGACGCATGTTTGCGCCTGCCTACCTGAAAGTGTGTGTAGAATGGGGAGTATAGAACCAGCAGGCGGCCCCTCAGTCAATCTTAACACTTCCTTCACGGCTCTTTCAGCCTCATGTTGTCAGCGCTGTGCCATATGGCTCGACGACAAATCCGGTGTGATTCCGGTGTGATTCCAGAGAACAGAAACAGCCCAAGCGAGCGTCACAGTTGCGGCTGTGCAGCTGAGGCGCGTGGCGATGCGGCCACTGCCTGCAAATGAGTGGAAGCCATTTGGGTTTGACATGTGCCCCCTCCATGCACGGAAGTGGAAACTCAGGGACTATTAGTAGTATCCAGCGCTGCTGAAGGCCACCAGAACAAGACGGCGGCCAATGAGGCATCACGATAAGAGAATTTGAGGCTTGTTGGAGCCTTGGCTGCTGGAGCTTCGTTGTGAGTGGATGCAGAGGAAGCGCACAAACGAGGCAGATTGAGTTGCTCTCAGAGATTGAGGTAAGGCGGAGGAGGGCCAAGGGGCTAAGCCTAGCTGGGCCATGGCCTCGCATAGAGCCGGGCCTAGGCTCGCTAGCTTCAGTGGGGGTGGGCGCTATCCGGGGGCGCTATTGCCCTGCTGAAGCGCTAGAGCTTGACCCTGGCTAGCGAGGTATCGATAACGGATCTCGCGGTGGGCTCAACCTTGAGATGAGAAGGCTTGCTGTACCTTACGGAGTACCTGGGATAGTACCTTATAGAAAACTGGCTTCTCGGTGCTTTCTTCCATTAAACAGGTAGTCAAACGGTGTATGCGCTTAGAATATCACCTGAGAAGGCCAAGTAGAGAGATGGCAGTGTCATGATTATATAAAAGTGATATTCTTCCTACAGGTTCCAATGCTGCATTTGGTATCGTTGGTTCTATCGTGATCAAATCCTATTCGTCCAGTCCCTGTGATTGCGCCATCCCGCCCGCTCCATTCGCCTTGCTTTTTTCCCTTACAAGTATTACATTCAACCCATGAAATAGACATGCGCTCTTCGTCCTCAAGGATCCCCCGTCTATCATATATGCATGTGTTATAGACATAATCTTGAGGGTTTCCAATATCTTCTGCCTTCCTCTTTGTTCAGTCTTCTCTCTTACATCCAGGCATTGCCATAACCAGGCGCAGTCCAGCTGCCCCCGTTCGTCGCCCACATGTTCATGTCCAGCCCCATGGCATAGTCGAATCCATCGTCCAGCCCCAGCCCTGCAAAGGTGCCGTCATACGCATTCAGATCCGATTGCCCATACTCTGACCGCGGTGCAGACAGACTGGGAGTTGCGCCCTTGCTAGGGTTGGCAGGAACCTCCGGTGGAAGACTTTGCTGGTCCAGGCCTGATGCAAAGCCCGCTTCCGACATCCAAGGAGCAGTCATGACGGGATGAGTAAAGGGCGAGACGGTGTTGTTGGCGCCCGACGATGAGCTGAACGGCTGCAGGCCGGTCGCGGCAGGAGCGCTGAGAACATCTGACCCGTCTGTGATCTGGAGGTTTGGCGGTCCCGCTGGTTGCGACAAGTCACCGGACACGATTCCTTCTCTTGTTGCGGCTTTAGGGTCCTGGTTGATAAGCCTCTCCAAGTCGGCCACGATACAGTCCACTGCGGGTCCCACGCAGCAGTCCTTGATGGTCTGAAGACATAGCTGAGCCTGCTCCATGACCGTCTCTGCCGTGACGCCGAACCGGTCGAAGATGCCGAACTGGAAGAGGTACACGAGCATTCGCGCGCACTGATACGCGCACATGGCAAGGTCAATGTCCGCCACCGGCTTGGCACCCAGCTTTTGGATGAGCGAAAAGATGAGAGTCAGTGCTAGAGAGTGGTCGACACACTGCCTCTGACAGTGCTCGAGGAAGCTCTGGTCGAACATGTCGAGCATGGACTGTGGCAGCCCTCCACTGATGTTCACCAAGGCGAGGCGGTAGAGGTCGCAGTAGCACTGGCGCCACCATACGTGGATCATGACGAAGATGCATAACCGCGGCGAATAGGCGCGGAGGCGGAGCGAGTTTTCCGAGAACTGGAACGAGGTCGGGAGGTTGGTGGCAAAGTCGTTGAGCTCTTTGTCGAGCGCGAATATGCGACCTTGTAGCTCAGCGGCTTCCATGCCGCGGTCATACTGAGCCACCTTTGTGAATTCGATAATCTTCTGGCGGATGTGCAGGATGCGCGCATGAAGAGCCAGAGTCCCGATGTCCTCGGCGAGCGGCGGCCGGGGCTGATGCGAGTCTGGCACGAGCTTCTCCGTCTGCTGCGGCAGGTCGAATTCGAAGTTGCGCTCGTTGCATGGCAAATAGACGTGGATCTGGTCGGCCCTCCAGAGGACAAAGTCCGGATACCCGCCACAGATACTCGTATCGATGCAGTACAAGGACCACATGAGGCGCCGACGAGACTCCTGGGCCAGAAAGCGGAGATGCGGCGCCTCGTAGTTGAGGCGCAAAGCAGAGGCGTACCGAGAGGCAAAGCTGTGCAGGACAAAGGCGCTGGAGAACTTGTTGCAGAGGATACGGTGCTTGATGATGAAGATGAGCGCCTGGATCTTGACAATTGAGGGCCGGCTGTAGTCGGCAAGAAGGAGGGCCTCGGCATCGTTGATGCAGCGGTTTCCGTACTCGCGCATGCCAGGGCCCATATTGGTCAAGCATGACGTGATGCCAACCAGTGCCAGGAGAAGCGCCCTGTCGACTTTGCCGGCGTGGTACTGCTCCATTAGAGAAGCGCGGTGCAGGAAGGTGAACATGGGCATATGGTGGACGTGGCGGAAGAAGAGGTCGAATGCGCGGCTGACGATGGAGCTGAAGCTTTCATCAATTTGCGGACTGCAAGTTCCAAGGCCCGTCAGTCTAACCATGACGATAGTGTTTTGTCCGAGCCACTTACCCTTGGTTGTCTACTCCTGGACTCGCAGAGCTGACCCGGTCGGTCAATGCCGGGCTATCGTTGCGCCCTTCATCATGGTCTCGGCTCTCTCCATGGCCCCGGGTCTCCCTGCCGCCATCCCGATCCGACTCTTGATCCGGGCTGTTGGGGCTCTTTGAGCCCCCGATGCCGGCTCCCGTTGACGACGGCTTGACTCGCTTGTTGGGCCGGTAGACGCACTCGATGCCCTGGGCGCGACATCGTTCGCATGCGGGGAGATGACCGGAGCATCGCGCCTTGCGGCTGTGGCAGCTCAAGCAGGCCTGCTTGACACGGCGGCGCGGCAGGGACAGGGACCATGTGTCGACGTCGGCATCGTCGTAGGAACAGGGGAAGCCGAGGCGCTGGCAATTGCCGCAGGACGGGCGCTGGCCGTTGCAGCGCACCTTTCGAAAGCGGCAGACAGCGCAGGTGGTGGACGACTTCTTGGGCCGGCGGTCGAGCGACAGGCCGGAGCCTTCGACGGGATTTGCGATGCTCGGCTGCGCTTCCGGGAGCGACGATCCGGAGAGGTCGAATGACGGCATGTCGGCGTCGGGGGGCGGGTCGAGATCCATTGCTGCGACTGACCCGGGCTGGGGCGTCGCGATCGAGCTCGCAGTCGACGGTGAAAAGGAGAGCGCGGGAGGCGATTGAGTCTCGGAGCTGTCGCAATGCGTGGCGAACAAGTAAGGAGGAGTAAAGAGGCTCGAGGTTGAGGTGGAGGCTTCAAGCTGCGAGCGGAAAAACTGGGGTTGACTCGGTGAGAGGCGCAAGTCTAGAGACGGAAGCGGCGAAGGATAGAGGTTCAGGGGGTAGATCTGGACGAGTGAGTAACATTGGTTAGATGGGATATTACATGGCACGATATGGAAGCGGATGAAGCTGAAGAGATGCAGGACTCAAGCGGTGGAAAACGGAGGCTTGGAGTCGTGCTGTTGCTGGATGGAAGGAAGCTTCGACGCACCTGCACCGGCTGAGGAACCTTTGGCGTGGCGGTCACTGGCGGGTACATCCAGGTACCCTCGTCATGGTCTGTGTGGTCTGTGCCGTCCATTTTGGCGGCACTGCACTGCAATTGGGGGCGCATGCGACAGCAGCGGTACCTGGCAGGCACAAGGAGCAACAAGAGGCACGCTTTTGCAGCTTTTGCCGACGGCCCGAGCTGGGCGTGATGCCGATGGCCCGATGTTTTTTCGTGCTGGTTGTGTAAGTCGAGCTGGAAGATGTCTGTGTGTATCTCTTGCGTTTCTGTCTGTTGAGTCTGATAAATCCAAGACAAGAGAATCAGATCTGTTTTGTGGATGGCAGAAAAATCTCAGATGCAGGGGAATTCGAGACCTTTTTAACAAGAAGCTACGCTGCGGTATGTCGGGCGCCATCACAGGCTACAATTACTAGGTAGAGAAGGTACACGCACCGCATTGCAGACGACATTTCATGCTGCATCTGGAACTGCACGGCACGACCATTCTCTACCAAGCCATCGTCAGTTTTTGATTCCAGGATGCAAAAAGTAGAATCCGCATCTCGAGAAAGTGACGATTCCAAGGAGGCTTGGGCTCAGCCTTTCCCGGCATTCGGAATCCCTAGTGTTTATGATAGGATAGATGGCATTGAAGACGTTGGCTCCTATGGATCTCGCGATCTCGCGCAATCCGCGCGAGGCGAGGAGAGGGTCTGGGGTCAGTCAATAGGGCACCGTAAAACCTGGAGTCCAATAGAGAAACAAGTAAATACGAAGTAAATGAACAGAAAAGAGAAAGGACTCCACACGAATGCGAATAAATCAGGGAATACCTCGTAAGCCGCAAAACGGGCGCTGCCATCCGAGACCCGGGGGACCACTTGTAAGACACTCGGCCGTGACACGTCCAAGCAGCAAGCAGCTTAGCAGCCTCACTGGAGCCAGCCTTACATGTGCCGAGGTAGACCACTCGTTGTTCCCACTCGTCGTTCCATTCGCTCTTCTTTTTTCCTTCTTTTTTTGCGTCTGCTGTTCTTGTTGCGCCTAGCCTGGCTGCAAGGGCGCCACAGGTGGCGGTCCGTTTTTGAGCTCGTTGACTTTTCCATCAATCAGACAACTTTGCTTCGTGCTTGAAATCCCCGCTGTGAAAAGTCCGTGTGCCGTTATGCGCGGGATTACCGGCAGCTTGCGGGAAGAACTTCCAAGATATGTATACCGCGCGACGTCACTTTCTATGGCACTTAACAAGGTGCATGTTCGTGGCTAACGTAGTGATCCAAGGCTGTGATGTAGGTTGACAAGGTACATTGTAGGTTAGGTGTCAGAAGGCAGACAACAACCAAGAGTATCAACTTGAAACTGTTTGACGAGCAGGTAGATGAACTCAATGTCATCAAGAGATACCGTCCTTCACCCAATTCACATGTCACTCATCACCACCAAGCGTGCCCGTGCCGCCCCGGCATCTCCGGCATCTCCGGAGCCTCTTCGCCTCGACCCCGAGACGTCGCTAGAATAAATCCAGCAAAGCAGCAACTTCCAACTCCAGCTCCCCGAGTCAAGTCCGGTAGCCCTAAACGTGTACTCCGTCTTCTGGTCCGGGAATTCGGCAGTAGGTCCGTCAACGTCTTCACTCGACGATGCCCGTTTTGTGTATGGTAAGAGTGATTGGACCTGTGGCATTGTAGGCACTCAGCCTTGATCTAAGCCCCAATTCTCACACCGGCTGCGTTTAGTGACGAGAAATAACATGAAGAGACGCCATAGGGCAGTGCGTTTTGTTGCCGGCTTATCATTCCCATCTGAAGGATCTCGGCAGCTCGACCGTTAGATCAGATCACCGCGACTCATGCAAGCGCAGATCCGCCTTGCTACTTGGGCCTTGAATATGGCGTCACAGGCCTTGTTGCTTCTTTGGAATTTTGTTCTTCCCTTCATTCGTTGTGCCAGAGTGGCGCAATTCGGACAGCAGTTGTGTGCTCCGAACTCACAGCCACAGCCAAAATTCGAAGCCATCACGGAACCAGCTTTGTGACGGGATCGCGCTTATGCTTGGAGTTTGACTGGGCGGATAGCGTATCCGCAAATTCCGCTCCGTTCCGCTACTTGTCAACTTGCACCACTGCTTAGCAAACGCCACGAAGAGCTTCTTGTTCCTGCAGACAGAGTGACTGTCTGGACCACAGATCACCTGGCGGCCTTTGTGGCTAGTGTTTCCCGTAGAGTTGCTGGCATAATCTTTGTGGCTACCTTACCCTGATTAGCTTACAGAGATATATGACCAACACAAGGTCCTCCTCCTTTCCCCCCTATAGTTTTTCTGATTCTATCTTTGTGATACCCCGAGTTACTCGTGCTCTCATCCACGCCTGACAGATGATCCTACTGAATTCCCCGTTGTTGTTTTGCTTTCTTGGTCTAACCCATCTGCGTCTTAACAACCAGCTGAGTATATGCAACATTCAGATAGCACACAGCACCTTGGAATATTGCCCTTTTTCCAGACAGGAGAGCACATCAATACCATCAAGAAATAGCACCTGAAGCTTATCTTTTCACAATGAGTTATCGACAAGCGTTTATAGGGTACTCTAGGAGACCAGCAGCATATCAGCGACAAAGGTCGGTGTTCATCTCGCCATCTCATGGGGCTAATGATCCAATCGAGAGAGCATTCGAGAACGACAATGATGCAGCAAGTCCGTACCATCGACCACACCACCGACATACACTCTCTCATATTCCGAAAGTCAACCCAACTCTCGCGACACAGCCTTCACATGGCACCATCGCACGCAGATGTCGCAAATGCCACATGGATGTGTGTACAAATCCTGTTCTCACGCCTATTATCCTCATCATGGCTCCAGCAGTGACAGCAACTCGGGGATAGTCGGTGATGCTCCCCGGCCTGCTGCTATTGTCGGCAGTGCGGCTGCTCTGCGTCTGATCAACGATTGGCGGCACATCTTTCTCCATGATTCGTGCCGATCCGTTTCCTCGAGTCATTTGAATTCCGCCCAGAAACACCATACCATCAACCGCAAGATAGGGCAAGTGATGCAGCGCATACTACCTAATACACGGCCAAAGGACACCCCAAGGACGAGAGATGCATACACAGCCAAGATGGTCAAAGACAAACAATTGTACCCCCTTTTCTCACGTGCTCAACAAAACAGAACAACACCCAGCCAATCAATCTCTCTCCTATCAAGCCTCTGCCCATCATCACCATTTTCGCCCAAGTAGGCCCGTATGCGAGGCAGTCCATCCCCATACCAATTCGGCCCTTTCAAAATTATCCCAAGCCGGGGGCCTGGCCTCTCTCCCCCGCGCCGTCCAGCTCCGTCCCTCAGTCTTTCTCCAATTCCCACTACTACTAGCAGTAGATCCGCATCCTTGACACGTTTTTGCTTCTTATGACCGAGATTTTTCCTCTCAACTTACAACAACCTGACTGGTCCAGCTGCCACAGAGCCAGCACCAAAATTGCTCATGTTGTGTAGCATTCGCGCTTGGCAGTGTGGGTGATGCGATGGCTGCCGTCTTTCCGCTCTCCGGATCGGCCCCCCTGCCCGCCCAGCCAAGGAACCGCCTTCAGCAACAAACGGATTCTAGTCCGGTCCGTCACGTAAAATGAGCATTTCAAGCCGTGGCCATGGATACCCACTCTCGACGGCAGCTTTTGCCTTTTTACCACCCCTGTTTGTGGGGGAGAGAAAGGAAAAGAAAAGAGTGAAGTTTTGTATGGTGCTCGACCTACGTACGTATTGCCGATGGGTATCCGGACACGACACACACGCACACACAAACCCTGGCAAAGGCGAGTTGATGCAGAAATTGTTAGCGTCGCGGCATTATTCCTCAGGCCGCCGAGGACACTGTCAATTTTGACTCTTTGTCTTGCTGGGGAACCATGGTTGATGGCGGGTAAATGCCGCGACTCCCCGGTCATTAGGGCTGTCGTGCAGGGGGACGACTTCAGGTGTAAGTTACAGTGAGCCATGAGCTCTTGGCTATACTACAAGTGAACGGGTTCTGAGAATACTAGTACTCGTGTAAGAGAGGAGTTGTCAAGAGACCGTTTACCAGTGTTCACCCATATAAAGATAGTACATCATTACTGGTGGGCACAAGACAGCCTGCACATCACAAGTAAGAACTCTACCTCAACTTCTCATCCCACTACAAGTCCCGACTTCTCGGTAGTAGGACTTTTGAATGCGGGGAGATGCGGAGCCGAAGACGCGCGCGAAAAAACAGCAAACTGCCCGTCCTCTCCGCACTGACAAGGTTGACAAGGCCTGCGGCCGATTGTGGGGAAGAAGGGCAAAAAGAGCCGAGACCGTTTTGCACCTAATCACAGTAGCTTATTCCTTGTTTGACCATCAAGGCCGAGCAGCAAGTGGCATTCTCTTGATCACATTGGTTTTGTTTTGTTCCTGGGAGCGAAAAGTCGAGTAAACTGCTAGTACTAGGTGGTAAGGAGAAAGAGGCTTCTATATACGTGTTGGACGGCATATACCACGCTGAACCTTTGCATTGCACAGCATGATTTCCGCCGTCTCACCATGAAGCTGAAACGGCCCCAAGCAATTTAAACCGTCATACGGTTAC